ATTACCATCACTATCATTACCATCACTACTACAGCATGCTAATCTGGATTCCTACCTATTGAAACGACTAAATCACAAGTCATAATGTAAGGGGTTCCCCTTTTTAGAGAAACTTAGAGAAATAAATCAACTTTTTTAATTTTTATTTAAATGTTACTTAGGTTCTTAAGACCTACCAAAACGACTTGTTGCCAGCTGAATCGTTTGCGGAGTTCTGCGATGTCGCTGGTGAGTTTTATACCATCATTTTCTGCAGTACTGTGTAAGTGTTCTGTTCTATACAACTCAATCGTCCCCCCCCCCCCCCCCCCCCCCCCCAGTCATATTTTCATTTTGTTAATTTCTTTCTTTTAGAACTGCTGACCGTGATTGAGAATCCAGATGGCTTCCTTCAAGAAACGTTCAGTGCCTATTCCAAGTAGCAACGTTAATTAAAAGAAATTCCAAACCTTTTTCAAGTACATCGCCAAATAATGTGAAATTGCTTTTTTTTTTTAGTTTTAGTTTTCAAACTATTAAACTATTAATGATCTGAAGATTAGAATTTTCTTTCTGGTAGATAACACTATGTTTGTCATAGTAAATATCTTTTTATTTCATTTTTCTTTAATATTTTGGTAAGCAACTGCTATGATTACTACTTTAAATGGCTAAATTCGCTATTAGTAAATGTAACCAAATAAATCCTGTGAGAAATCACGGTACTGAATTATTATTGTCTTAATTACCTCTTTTACTCAATAATGAAAATCAGAGAACTATTTAGTTTTTGAATGTAGGGCACTGTTATTTTAACCCTAAACCCTAACCCTCCCCACCCGTACAAACAACCCCTCCCCACAGAGTACGAAATGTTTCCTTAACAACTATGACATCATCACCATACTTCCGATACGTTCTTGGCCGACTATAACAACCTCTTACTTCCTTCGGTCAAGCTTCCTGATCTGCCGAAATCTCCGGCATAGTCTTATATGCTTCACGCTGCCATACTGCGCTTTAGCCCTGCGTTTGGAGGCAAATGAGGTGTCGTGAAGCTTGTGAAAATGTACCAGCGAAAAATAAAAACCTCTTTGCAAATATTCTCGATTCTGATTGGCTATAAAATTTTCTCAGATCGGCTGGAGCTGCCAACACGAGTGAAAAATTTCTGCGCATGCTCTGAATCCATATGCAAATTAGTCAAAATATTTAACTTCGACTTTCAAACATGCTTGATAAATTGGAGTTCACAAAATGCCAAGCTTGAAACTTTAGGCTAATTCTTTCATATTGTGTTTGTTAATACAGCATCTTGGTCTGACATAAGTATGCTCTTGAACTTTTTTGTATACTTGGAGAAAACAAACATTTATTTTCTCACTCAAACTCTTTAAAGTTCTTAGAAAACGTGCTGAAATGCACGCATGCGCAAGCGTTTTACTCTAGCATCGGAGCGAGTATGCGCATGCGTTGTAGATCTGTATTTCGAAGCGCGTAGATTTGAAAACAGGAAAACGTGCTCTTTTAGATCTTCTTAAAAGACACTTTTACTGATCTGAATTATCCTATCTGTGCCAAAGTATAACAGTATAGTATGCAAGCATAAAATATTTGGTAATTAAGAGTAAAATAAGTCTATTAAGGAATGGAATTCTGCGAGGAAGACGTGGAATATCTTCGATACTTCAAAGTAGCTCTGGTAAGTTGAGGTCTTCAACTAATCCTTCTCTCCCTTAACATATTACCAATCTTAATGCCCGATATTTGATTCTGTGAGTTAGAAGCTTGCTAATATAAGTTTTCCTTTCGAAAGGCAATAGCAATTATCAGGCAAAAATCGGAAAACCTTACAGCAAAACAATACACCGAAAAACTGTTTGCAATACTAAGAGAAAAAGAACAAAATTCTAATCAAAAGGTAAGGAAATTACTACTACAAACATAACATATTTGTCAGTTATTAGTTGACTATTAGTATTAAACAAATTGAACCTTTCTTTCAGGTTCAGCACCTCCAGTCCGAACTTTTCCAAACAAAACAAACATTAATTCAGTCACAGTCATTAGTATCTAGAGTTGAAGTCGATGCTCATAACGAACCAGATGAGACAAAACCTAATACTGATGATGAAGTGGACAATATCTTACTCACCCCTCCCGCCTCTTCTGAAGACAATAAGACAAACAAAGAAAGTTCTCATTTGCTGAGAAACGCTCAGTTTTTAAAAAGCGGTAACTATACAATAGCTTAATCCTTCGTCATAATGGAATGAATTTGTTTATTACCGTTGTCTGAATGAAGAATGTATTTTGAATTCAAGGTGACTGACTACTTTTGGAAAACAATTTAAACTTTATTTTAAACTTCGATTTTCCGAATTAAGAATTTAATGCTGATTCCAAATCTGGAAAGAAAAATTGGGTGTCCCGAGCTTGTTTTCGAGATAATCAGCATTTAATGGAAGCCTACGCGCGAGCTTTTGAAGCAAAACTTGCTCCACCGGAAGTGATTCATAAGATAATAGTTAGTCAAGGCTAGTCAATCATTCTACAATAATACATGGATATTTTTGACAAAAAGACAAAGAGATACATTGATTTGTCATATTTTGTAGTTTCGGTGCTCTTAAAAAATCTCATAAAGTCGAGCAAAAATACCTACAAAAATCTATTTTTTCATATGTTACTGATATCAACTTTTTCTAAAATGTTGATATAACCTAGATTTTTAGTTTTGCCCTGTTGAAGCTCAAAACGCGTATGGTTCCGTTCAATAAAATCTTGTAGATTTTTCAGCGGTTTTTGAGCGCGCGCACATCGTGGACAGTCACCTTAATTTCATTCCTTTTTTACGGCTTTTTTAGTGTCTTTTATGTGTAAGAAGCCCTACAAACTATTCTCTGTTTTTGCTGGCGATGATGTCATAGTTGTCAAGGAAACACTGTTACAAATAATCAAAAGTAAGTTTTTAAGCATTACTGACACTTAATCATCGAAGATCAGAAGTATTATTATAAGAGCTGATCTGCATGAGCATTTACGATGGCAAGCCATTGTAAACCACATACAGATTGGACTCAAATATTGCTTATCAACTGCCATGGTGTATACCAAATTTCGTTTTCTAGTAGCTAGAGCATGTAAATGTCTGTCATCACTAGGGCTGCATCTGCTAGCATTTTATCTTACTTATCGTTGTTCTCCAAAGACATCTTTCTTTTGTCTGTATTTTTCTTCTAGTTGGGAAAGGTTTATCTTCCACCACTTAGTCTCTAGAAACTGATTACCTGATCGATCTAATCAATATCATAACCCTGCTTTCGTTAACAGTGTTAACACAAGACTCTGGAAGTAAGATCATGGCACTACCTCAAAATATTCTACAGGCATGTGCTGATGGGATCATAGGTTGGTGTACACTATTTTACTAGTTCGATTGCAGAAATATAGTGGTGTCCTGATAAGCTATTGACTGTAAAAAAAAATCAACTAATGTTTACTCTTTATTTGAAAAAAGATATTTTAGAGTGCCCAGGTCTCAAAAATTACCAATCTGAGCTGAAGGTCCCAACACTAATCCTTGTGGAACACCTGATTCAAATGATAATGAAAGTCAATGTAAATACACACCAGGTAGATAGTAAACAAATAAGTGGCATTTTCCTACGTATTTCACATCATTTGACATATTTGGATTAGTTTTCTTATTGTTATTACATTCAATTGTCTTTTATCAGTTAAAAGACAAGATATCAAAGATCCTAGTTATTTTTGGCTGCACCCCCAGCCTTAGGAATGAGATCCTAACCAAGTTAGCAACAAGTATTCTAGATGTTTCTTCAAAACTTCGTCAAATCACTCAAGGTAAAAAAGCCTGTAACTAGCAAAACGAGTGCAACGTGATAAATAAATGATAAGAATGATAATATTATTTATAATTTATATAGGCTGTGCAGATATATATAAATCCCTCTGAGCTTTACAATAATAATAAAAAGAAGAAAAATGAAATCATGCAGCAACCAAAGCAGACCCCCACCCCCACCCCCCACACATGCAAAGGAAATTTATGCTTTCTTATGAGCAAAACTGGTTGACACACCCTGACTCGATCTATAAATCTACCTTTATAACAGTTTTAAGAAGAAGAATAAAAAATAACCTATAGAATGCAAATTGTCACTATTGGCATTGTCTGGATTCGTTCCTTCTGATCATTAACAGGTTTAAAGATTAATATTGGGCACACTGCATACATAAAATATCCCTCCTCACGAATGGCATTCTCGCCTTGCCTTTCCTTGTCTAGCGGCTTCGTGGGGAGGGATTTTTTAAGGCTATTTTTAACTGTATGTAACAGGGGAAAAAGATGTCAGTGTGTAGATATTTTAAGTGCCTATATTATACTAGAGATATTTTAGCTTAAGCATTCGTATGTTATCGTTTCAAAACATTCAATACTCGTCAAAATCAACTGAGTTATTAAAACGCGCGGATGTTTTATATTTCTAAGATGCTTTCCTTCCGTTAGAGTGTTAAATATCAATACCCTCTGGTATTCACTTTGACAAACACTGCCTCCACATTAATTCATATCCTACGTGATGGATATCTGTATTGGTATTGATGCGTTCTGGTTATCCGCTATAGGTCGATGTTCGATAAGGACATTTGCCTCTGAGTATCACAGTATCTACCATGTACTCTGGGCTATCGAGACGATTCTAACAAGAACATTATCCATTGTGCCCCGCCCTGGAACCGGTAAGTAAAACCTATAATGAACATCTTGTGGATAAGCATCAGTTGTAAATCACACATTTAGAGTCTTAATGTCAAGCTATATCGACGAGTATTACCTATGTTATCGAAGGGCTTTTAATATGATAAGCTATTGATTCATATAGGTAAAACTGCTGATGAAGAAGAAAACGCAAGCGCTTGCTGTGCAGTTGTACATTGATACATTTGACGACGCTAACACAATTTGACGAAATGAAAAGTGCGCGCAACCCGCAACCAATCAGAGCGAAATTCTTTTATTATTTATTAAGAGGAAATTTGATAATGGCCAAAAGCGCCAAAAACTAGACCTTCGTATGAGTTTTGATCCCAATTTTCTAAGCTTTTTTTCTTTCCCACATGTACTTATTAATACTATCAACCTTCTATATACTCAGTTTTCCTTTTCAGTTATTAAATAGTCCCACCCCTAAGCCTTTTTTCTTTCCCACATGTACTTAGTAATACTATCAACCTTCTATATACTCAGTTTTCCTTTTCAGTTATTAAATAGTCCCACCCCTAAGCCTTTTTCTTTCCCACGTGTACTTATTAATACTATCAACCTTCTATATACTCATCTTTGTTTTAGTTTCGTTCCTGTAATTACCTTGTCAGCTTTTAATCGAGTAATAACTTTAAATCCACTCTCATCCATTTTTGCATTTATTTCATTTCTATTTTCAATTAATTTGTTTTCTAGTTAAGGATGAATTAATAATGATAATGGAAGAGAGCCTGCTTCATGTCTCAAGATCATTTCCTGTATACGCTTGTTATGTTTGGAGGATTCAAGCTTTTCTGAACTAAGGTAACGTCTTTTGAACAAGACTATATTCGTCACTGATTATCATGGAAGATTACTTGGAATTGAAGTTGATTTCTCTTGATCGTGGCATAGTAAACGTACATACCTTCCCCAATGAACGAAAATTGCCCTTTAGTTCAAATGTGGGTCCGTAAGAGAGGTGAAGGATTTGGTTTTGATATATAGTCATACAAAATGTATTGACATAATTCCGAAGGTCGTGGGTTCGATTCCCAGCGAGGTCGGAAATTAATTTTTCCGAATTTATTTCCAAGGGTCTTTCACCCGGAATAACCTCGTTCCCAAGCACTATAACTTATCTATATTTCTATATAATGCATAGTTCTATCTTTTCCGTTTCGGGGCTCTATATTACCATTTGAAAGGTGGTTTCTACTAGAAATCGCAAGCCGATATGAAAAGCACAAAGTCTTGTTTCTCATTTAGACGTAAGGGCGTCATTTAACTGAGTTAGATGCTAGCTAATAAATTCAAAAAATTACTGAGAAGTAAAAAAGCGCACTCGATGATCTCTTAATTGACGTATTTCGCCTGACCACGCCTGTGGACGCAAAAACAATTTGTGACGCATGTTTTTTATTACAAGTTCTCGAATGTCTGACAGATACCTGACCTTAATCCCTAGTTATTGAGACAAATGCTTCGAAAAATAACCCATTTCCAAAAGCCGGCGACTACTTTTAATCTGAGTGAAATAGAAGCTTTTAGTTGACACTGGAAAACATCATTTTCCCTCTGTCTATCTCTGTCTGTCTGTCTTTTCCGCCAATCAATATTTGGAAAATTTCACGTTTTCTTTTTCTTTTTATGCTACTTAAATAGCTATTGTTTCGTTTTTGTTTAAAGTGTCGCTTCCTGATTTACAGTAATACTTTTTTGATGTTTTAAAGCCGTTTAATGAAGTTGGATTCATTTGAATTTACACGAGTTAGAAACGACAATATGCCCGCACTCAGATTTGCACGAAAACCTTCATGTGGCATTTTTATCAAACCTTAACATGCGCTCAGAAATTTCTTAATCGTAAATGTTCAATTGATGGGTTTTAACGCCAGATAAAAATACATGGTCAACCAGTATTATAAGGTCTAAGATATTTCTAATATTTCCTGATATTACAGAGCGAATTGTGAAATTGTACCACTGTACAGGATTAGGAATTAAGACTTTTTACGCACGACAGATATCTAAACGTCACAGACATGTCATGCGATATTAGAAATACGAATAAAAGTAATATGTTTTCACTAAATATTGTTTAAATGGATAAAAAAGCTTTAGGCTAGATGGCTAGACAGGGTATTCAGGAGCCTCTCTACAAACATGTTATTTTGGACTCAAAGCTGACACTACCAAGCTTCTCAGCAACTATTGTTGTATTACCTATCAGCTACAAGCACCTAGCTTCCTTTTAATTAATTACTTAAAAATTATTTGTTTATTCATCTATTGAATATTGTGATGCTTAATATAATGAGCTAGTTTACGTGTGATATATGAGGTATATTTAAGATTGTATTGCGTGCTTATAATGTAAACAGTTTTGAAGGAAACCCCAAAATTAATTCCAATTTTTCTTTCTTTTTCTTTCTTTTCTTTCTTTTTTTCTTTCTTGTCCTTCTTATTGCCTAGACTTTGGAAATACGAACAACCTCTGAATAAAAGAAAAGGTATATCACGTAATGGAGATGTAGATGGTCTTTTTATCAGTGCCGTCGTATGTTCGTGTTTGCAACTGAGAATATTAAACAAGTTCTAGCACTTGAGGCACTCTATCTTTGAAATTCAATATTAAAGGATTCTATTTCCTCTTTATATGTTTAAAAAAATATTATCCGTCGTATTCCTACAAAATCAGTGCAAAATAGCATTTGTCTTTATACATTGTTCTCTTGTCGAGGTTTATGACAAATGGTTATCTCTATCAGGAGGTCTAAGTAGATAGTAGATAGCTTAATGCAACACTCGTTTGGTCGTTTATTTACTAGACTATATAGAAAGGCTTTCTTGATTTTTGTTCTCATCAATAATCATGAACAATTCGTTCATTGATAATCATCGGCAACGAATCCCTCGATCGAAATACAAGTTACAACAACAACCATTTGAGTGTTGAAGACCTTTGGAGAAACCCATTTGATTGTTGGAAGAAACCCATTCTACTGTCAAGTTAAAGAAGCCGTTCGATTTCCTAGCCGAAACCTCTAGCCCGAAGAAAGCCATTTGGGTGGCGGCGGAAAGAAAATTATTTATCTATTAAAGAAAGCGTTTGGGTGGTGATTCAAAGAAATCCATTTGGATGTAGAGGAAGGAGATTTGGTTGCTGAAGAGACAAAAAAAACGTATAAAAACGTATTGGTTTTAATGACATTTTCAGGTAAGTACTACAGAGCTTGCTTTCTGTTACGGTAGATACCGTTTTTAATTTTGTTTCGCTTCGATTCTATTTATAGAAAAAAGATATTAAATTTGCAATCAATTAGAGATTTAAAGTCAGTAACAAGGTGAGTTAATTTTGTTATATTTCTATCCTTCTCTGTTTCTATTTTTGATGCAATTGGGTCCACTAAGCACTAACGCTGGTTGAAAGAACACTGAATAACGAAGAACGACATTTTTAAGATCATGCTCTTATGTCAAATCACTGGTTTCTCCGCATTTCATCTGCCTCTGTTCATGATGTATTTTTCTGGCCTTCACATAATTTTGTGTTCGATTTTCAAGATAACTAACCTTCTCCCCATTTTATATATTTTTTGTTCCTAATTTGTTACCAAAATGTACGTAGAATAATTGGCATTCAGTCTTGTTTCAGCTTTTCATTTTTTGAATACAAATGGCTTATATAACTTTCTATTTCATATTTATTCTTATCTGTTTATTCTCTACTGAAATAACTAGCTCTTGCCGATATGATATAATAAACGATCAGGATGTCAGTGACGTGTAGATCGTGTAAAGACTTGACCCGACGTGTTGGCTTTGCTGTGCAAACATTTGCTGTTCGTTAACACTTGCAGGCGCCGCTCGTAAAACACTGACTACCCACTTGAACGTTGTGCTCGTCATTAAACCATATTAATTGTTAAATATTAATTTTCATTATTCAATTAATTTGTATTTTTGGATAAAACTCTCTGATTTCTTGGAAGGCGAGGAAATATGTCCAATATCTGACAAATTCATTTGATTAACATGACAGATGGTTACTTGCAGTGGAGAATAATCCACTTATTTCAGCAATACAACAAGGGATTTACATTCATAACCTCTACTTTACCCAGCCTTATGTTTCGCCTAGTTTCCAGGGGCTTTTCGGCTTTCATCATACGGAAATCCCTGGAACGAACCAATCACAGACGAGTAGTTTACAAATCATTATTAAATCGGGGTGTTTGTTGCAGTAAATGCTATTAATAACGACATTTACCATCACACAGTAACACAGGTGAATAAGGTCATCTTATTTAAATGACAGGGCTTCAACTTGGATTCTAATCCACTACATTCAAAGAAAGAAGAACAACGAAGGTAACAAAATACGCATGCGCTAAAGTCTTACCAAATTAATTATTGTTGATGTGTTTTAGTGTTGTTTGTGTGTGTGTGTGTGTATAAAGTCTTACCAAATTAATTATTGTTGATGTGTTTTAGTGTTGTTTGTGTGTGTGTGTGTGTTTTTTTTTTTTTTTTTTTTTTTTTTTTTTTTTTTTTTTTTGTTTTTTTGTTTTTTGACTTTTTTTTTTTGTTTTTTTGTTTTTTTTGTTGAAATTCTGAATAGAACAGCGCAAGCGCAGAAAAACGAGCTAGCTAAATTCAAAGCTTAAGAGCGATATTCGTATTTAGGGGAAGAAAACATCATAGATTCCACCATCCACTTCTTTAGATCTTTAGATTGTGCTGAAAATTGTGTTTAAATATAAATAAATATAGTTGTCAAGTAACTGCGTTGGTAAAAATGGAAATCAATAACGGAACTGATCTCGGAATATCTTGGTCTCCATCTTCCAGAACGTTCAGACAAACACTCTAGGTCTATAAATTGACACGTGTTTTGTTTTTCCTTTAATGAAAGATAATTTAATAGGCAAAAACATAATGTCTTTCATTCAAATTATTCAGGATCTAATCGACCTACAATATGTGTAAGAACATTTATCATTCAGAGTTTTGAGAACAGAAAAGAATTGAATGGATTGCAAGAGTATTATTTGGCACACATTGCAACCTTTTTTCTTTATTTCTGATATATTGTGAATATTGTTGTCAGTGACGGGACTGATAGCCTTATAGTTTGCGCTTTGTAAATGGATTGCTAATGTACAGACGGTTCCTGCACTTTTCTCCTGCTACAATAACATTATGATCCTGTTTACTCCATGGTATGTCAGTGTTTGGGGTCTGTATCGTTATTTATAACAGTTACTTACCAGTTTTGCTTTTTTCTTCAATAAGTGTGTTATCAATTATATTACTGAATTTGTCGGTGACTTTTTCTTCCCCCCGCACCTTTGGGGGGATTTTAAAGCCTAAAAGTTGGTTAATTGAATTGTTTTCCATCGATATAAAATATTTTTTTGTGCTTTTACTAAAACAAAGTTATGAGTATCATGGTTTATTCACTACTCTTAGGTGATTCGTCAGTTCTACTTCCAGCAAACTTAAATACTATTTTAGGTGTTATTTAAGTAACACTGATCTTATGATAATTTTGTTCGAGCGAGATGTCAACAAAATATATTCAAACTCATCAGTTTCCATTAAAGTTTTTAGTGGTTGAGTGCTCTATAGTTCTTGTTACTCGATTCTACATCTTCACGACCATTTTCCTTCATTTCATTTATTATAGCTTTAAAAGTACTTGAAGTACATCATTAGTTGGTTCATGTAATAAGACTAGACCAAGGAAAAGCCATCTTGTTAATTTGAACAAAAAAGTAAGTTCTTCTCAGGCCGAACGAAAAAAACGGCCAAGTTTTAGTTGAGCCGTGATGATGCCTAAAGCTACATTATCCTCAATTCCATAGATGTTTTAAAAAACCTTTCAAGTGTTTTTTTTGCTCTTAGCTTTGATAAGCCTTCCAGAAGACCATGTGTATAGTGTTGCTCTAACCTTATCTTGATTCAATACACGATAGACTAAATCTCTTCTTACTAATCTTAGGGATATTTATTTCCATTCACCTTTTTGCATCTTTATGACATGATAACAACTCTGTTTTCATTGGTATTTGTCTTTCAATGCATAGATAACATATTTTTTTAAACATGTACTCGGTCTTCTTAACATCAATTACTTGTAGTCTCATCTTACATTATCTTTTTTTATAATTTGTTAACAACTATTTTCTTAATCTTTTTCCTACGATTGCTTTCCCTTCCTTCCTTTCTTCCTTTCTTCCTTCCTTCCTTCTTTCCTTCCTTCCTTCCTTCCTTCCTT